AAAGTTCAAAAGACGGGGTTGGCAGCTCCCTCCGAAGATCAAAAGTTTTTTCTGGCAATTATGTTGTGCCTTCCTTTCAACGACTGAAAACCTAAGACAGAGAAGAGTGAATTGTGTTGTGAAATGTGGACTATGCGGTGTGGATGGTGAGTCATTGCTTCACTATGTTTTCATTTGTGCGATGCACTGAACAAATTTTAGTCAAACAAAATGCCAAATATGATAAGTACAATATTTGAATGAGTTAATTACCAATATAGGAGTAAAAAGTTTACAATTTGCCAAAATAGGAGTAGTCAGGTAAGTCATGTTTGATAGGAGCATTTTAAGACCAAGTTGACCAAAATAACCTTCTTATATATCACATAGCCGGTGCTGCACTTAAAATTGAACAAACATTGAAGAATGAAGAGTCCAAGTAATATTTGCGTAGATCTCCAGCTACCCTCCCTGGTGCCCTGTGTCACTGTCATCTGTAATGCTGCTCGCCTCCACCTCCCCCACACCGGCATCACCATCCATCATCGCCGAACCTCAGTCGCTATCGGCTGCTGCCGGCCACCACCGTTCCCAGCCCGTCACAGCCGCCCAATCTACGCCGCAAGTGTCAATTTTAGGGCCACCATTTCACCTTTGAGCATCACCATCACCGTCACAGCTCTGGCATCATTAATCTGCCATGAAAATGAAATTTTAAATCTGCTATAATGATGGTAGATTTATTTTGGCAGATTTGCGCAAAACTGCCATAATCTTGGCAAAATATCATTGTTAGTGTACATTTCTGCCATAACTTGGCAAAAATTTATGCCATCATCCAAAAACTGAGAAAATCAGGAAATTTGAGAAATTAAAAAATGGAAATGCGAAATAGAACTCCAGAAATCAACAAATCGAATGCCAAAACTCAAAAACAGAGGAAAAGAAGAAAAATAAAAAAATGGAATAATAGGAGGAGGAAGAGGAACATGGAGGAGGAGGAGAAGGAGGAGGAAGATGAGATGGAGGATGAGAAGATACCTGATTTGCAGAGAAGAAGAAGTTGAAGGATGTGATTTGAAGGGGAGAAGAAAATGATCGATGGAGAAGGGGAGGTAATGGTGCGCATAAAGGGAGAGAGAAGATGATAAGCCGAAGAGTGGACCGATGGTAGGTTAAACATAGCATGGGTAAGAATGGAATTGAAAAGTCCATATGTTTTGGATAGGAGTAATATGCTCCTATTTGGGGAAGAAAACATATATACTCCTATTTAAGAATTTCTCCCAATTTTTACTCCTATATGAGGCAATTTCTCTATTTGAATATGTGAAGAAAATAATAAGTCATATATATTGGAAAAAGTTGAGTATTTCAAATGATTTTTTTATTTGGCTTGATAACCTTCTCCCCACACCGGGTTTTTTACAAAAAAAGTTTCAACTTTTCAAGTGTACACAACTTTCTAAGGAGTAAATCGAAAATGAGAGAAAGGGTAATTATCGCGCACATGAGGTGTTTGTTGGTTGGTTTAAAATAAGAATTTTGCGTCTTGTGCAGTTGGACATAGGGCTGGGACTTTGGAACCAAGAACCGGAGAACCAAATCGGACCGAACCGCTATGACCCGGTTCGGTTCCGAAATTTATTAGTTATTTATTAATGGTTCGGTTCCTATTTTTTATTAACGGTTCGGTTCTCGGTTCCTGAATAAAATATGTACCCGGAACTGTTAAGGAACCGTTATATATAATAATTAAAATTATATATACCTCTTATTAGTATATATATTTTAATATATATTTAATTATCTATTTTTATATTATTAGATTCACTTTTTTATTTAGTTATTTAATTATTTAAAATTATTTTTCATTTTAACTGGTTTTCATGGACTTCTTTAGCGAATATCGTGTTTTGTTTTATTTACTAAAATTTGCCGTTTGTTATGTATTTATGTTTTAAACTCAACTTTTGAGGTTTGAAATGATGTTCCACATATTTGTATTGTAATTTCAAACGTTGAATGTATTTTTGACACAAATTTAACCGTGATTTTTTATATGGAGTATTTATTTAAAGGCTATGAACCGTTAAATGACAAGAATCGAACCGTTAAGAACGGTTCGGTTCCTTATCGGTTATATAAAATAATTTATAACAACTGAACCGTTAATAAAATTTCATATTTTCAAACGGTTCCACATATTTTGCCTAGGAATCGAATCGGTCCCAGGCCTAGCTGGACTTGGGGATCGACACGGTAGCTGAAATATTTAACACGTCTCAGAAGACCATTTTGCTCTAAGATTTTTTTTTAAATCAAGAGGTACCATTGCACTCATACATTTTTTTTCGTGTCACCACCGACATTGAATTTTCGTGCAACCACCCTGATTAATCTGCAAAAAAAAGCATGTCATATTTATACACACAGACAAATTTTGTTTACAAAAACAAATTTTATTGAAAAATGTGTGCCCTTGGATTTTTTTGCTGGTGGGAAGGGTAAATAAATAGAGTGTAACAAAGAGTATATCAAATATTATTGATTTATGTTTATGGAGTATTATACTTATTGATTAAAGCTATGTTTGCTATTGCTTAATTTAAGCACTTATAAGCTTTTGGGATTGGAGAAGCTAAAAATGATGTTTGCAAATGAAAAATTATGCTTAAGTTAAGCAGTTTGAAGCCAAAAGCTAGAAGCTAAGGATGAGGTATTTTTATATGTTTCTTGGTTTTTTAGTAAATAAGTCCAACTTTTAGGGCAATTCTAATTTTAAAAATAATTATTAGCCCAAAAGTACCCCTCTGGCCCACAACACCCATTGTTCCCCCAAAGCTTCATCCCCTCTGCAGCAACGTCCTTCCGGCGAGGGAATTCGACAGCGTCAGAGCCAAACGAAATTCTGAATAATCCAAGAACATAATTAGACTTCATCCAAACATAAATTTACAGAAGGGAACCGTAGCCGCTGAGCCTTGCTGCTTTCTTCAGAGTCGATGCAGAAGGGAACCGTAGCCGCTAAGCATGGTGAGGAGCTTCACAATATGTTTGAATTCAGAACCGTAGCAGACGGTTCCCTTATGTTTGAATTTACCGTCCAAACATAATTAGTAGTGATTTTTCTTTCAATTTTTGGCTGCTTTTTAACTCCATGAGCATGGTGAGGAGCTTCACCATCGGCATTTAGGGCAGAGAGAAAGGAGGGTGGGTTGGGTTGCTCCTTATCCTAATCTGTTATCTCTTTTTACTTTTGGAGGTTGATTTGGTAATTTAACAAAATATTCCATTACAATCACTTTTTTATCAAACACTCCAACTTTTACATTTTATTTAAAATAACTTCTATTCCCAAACACTACCAACTTTTACTACAAATCACTTATCCAACAATCTATTTAAAAAACCACTTTTAAAAAGCATAAGCAATCGCAAACACTCCCTAAAAATGCTACTGTCTTTTTACACGTAACCTTAGAAAAGTGTAGCTGGCCCTTCCACATATATTAAGGAACAAACTTACGTAAATGACAAGATCAACCTCCTAACTCCTTTCTTCTGTTTCTTTTTCTTTTTATTTTTTTGTTAATCATTTTTCTGATTTGAGAGGGAAAATGAATAAAATTTCATTTGTTTTTATATATGGGAAAACTGTCAAATAGGTCCTCGAACTTTCATAAAAAAGTCAATTAAGTCCTTCTATAGGAGACTCTGTCCGGTCGTCGCGATTTGGGCGGTTCCCGATGGAATTTTTTGATAAATTTTTTTGAGCATCTTATTCATCAAGATTAGTTTACTCATACCAAATTTCAGCTAAAAATTTAATCGGGAGCGCATTCAAATTAATTCGAGAACGCAAAAATGTGCAGTTATCTTCAAGATTTAATTTGAATGTGTTCCAGATTGAATCTTTAGTTGAAATTTGGTATGAGTAAACTAGACTTGGTGAATAAGATGCTCAAAACATTTCACCAAAAAATTCCACCGGGAACTACCCTAAATCACGACGGCCGGACATAACCTCTTATAGAAGGACTTAATTGACTTTTTTATGAAAGTACGAGGACTTATTTGACAGTTTTCCCTTTATATATAGATATGTTTCACCGCTTACTTGTTAGACTCGTCATACTTTTTCTAACTTTGTGACGGTCAGAATTATAAAATAATCATGTATTGTGTATTTTCTTGAAATCCGTACCAAACTGATATGTACTCCCACTAGTGCTAAATAATCTTCATGTTTTAACTATACGATTTTTTAAAAAGTGAAATTTTTTGTGTTGACTTTTCCATCATATCCCTACAAAAAGTAGATAAAAGGCATGTTTGGCATTGAGTGGTTAGCGATTAGCCGATAGCGGGTTATGTTAGCGGGTTGTCAATAGCGGATACAATCAGCTGGTTTGACTACCTGAATAAATTTACGGGTTGTCATAAGATGTTTGGTAATTTAGCTGTTTTGTCATAAAATTAGTTGAAAAAGCTATTTTTCAAAACGCCAACCCAAAACTCTCCTATTAAAAGCGTTTTCATTTCAACGTTTCTGGCCAAAAATGCAAGTGTCAAACAACAACAAAAAAAGCAAGTGTCGAACAACTATTTACTAAACAGCTTTTTATATTTTCGAAAACGCTAAAAGTGGTCAAACCGTCATTTTCCGACTGAAACGCCGTTTACCAAACACCCCCAAAGTGTAGTGGGAGAGAGAAAAAGGGTGTAAAGTAGATAATAAAGTAAGGGTATATGAGTAACTTTATAGTAAAAAGTTGTCTAAAATAGAAGTGTGAAATTTATTTTGGACCTACCCAAAAAGGAATGTGTGAAGTCTATTTAGGATCGGAGGTCTCAGTGGTGGTGGTGGTGGTGGTGGAGGACTGGAGGTGGTGGAGGTGGTGGTGGTGGTGGTTTCTTAAATGCAGTGCCCAAACAACCGGCAGGAGGGGAGCACTATCGAAATTAGACGGTTAACTAATGTAAGGTTGAAGCGTAGATTTTCAAATGGATGACAGAGACCCCGGTCTCACTGAGACCTCCAGATTGAAGGTATGCAACACAATTCTATTTTAGGAATGTGTGAAGTATGATTTACAGTATTTATTAAAATTGTTAATTGGCATCAAAGTATGTAATTATTGATTGACATGAAACTATTGACAAATTGTGAATGGAAGAAAGCAAATAGAAGTACGATAATGCCATGAGAATGGAAGCTAGCTCGAAGCTTCATATAGCTTTCAAACCCTCGTTGAATATATTGGTAAAAATATCCATTTGTGCGACAGGCAATGCCAAACCCACCTCTAGTCCACCTTCATGATCCTTAGCTGCACCAAGAGAAATAGCCCCAGTCACATCAATAGAAGGAATGTCAAACTTTTTAGGCTTCCCCCAACCGAAATCCAGCTCATAATAGTCGAACTTGGGCGAGCCAGCCAGGCTCATGGTTCGACCGAAATTGAATCCGTAGATAACCGTTAGCCACGAATCAGCTCCTCTCAAAACTCCATCCTTTTCCTTATTGTACAATTGGCCACGAATGCTTTCTCCTATGACCTCAACCGCCTTTATGAAACCTCCATGTCCTATAAGCTCCTTTGTCATTGCGCCGCCTATACAGGGCACGACACAATTGCCAAAGTAGTTTCCTGGCACGGGAGGGTCCAAACGTGCCCGGCAATCAGCCGGGCACAGAAAATTCTCTTTTTCTTCATCGCCATCATTTTCGCCTATTTGGATTCTCGATTTCACTAGGCAATTCCATACGTGTGAACAAATCATGGTAAACGACGAAACATGTACCAAATCGGGTCGTAGCTCAAGGACCCGATTCTTAAGCCGTTGAATATCGTCTCGGGTCACTACAAATGTGGACCGGACCTTGTCAGTGATAAGTGGACGACGATAAACATTGTGTGTCTCTTCAATGCTAATGTTTTTCAGGATGTCCCAATAAAGCCTCGTCAATCGTTGACCATCTTTGACCGCCACTTTACCATAAAATGGTACACATTGAGATGATGTGCAGTCTTTTTTATTATCTTCGTGACTACTAAAAGAAAGATGAGACCAAGCCTTCATAAAACCAAAGATGCTACTGCCATCGCCGATTATATGATGGTTGGTCACACCGATGCAAATCCCGACATCGGGAAATAGTGTAACTTGTAATGCAAACACGGGGACGACAACCGACCCGTTCGGTGCTCGGGAAGTCGGGGGTAGTCTTGGAATTAGGGGTTGATAATCCATGGAACTTCTTGCTTGGTCGGAAACAAGATGATCAAAGTCAGTAGTCTCACCGGAAATGTACTCCGCGACGATCAACGGCACCGTATCGCCCTCGGTGTAACGAATTTCGGGGACGATTGCGTTGTCGGGTGAGGTAAAAACTCTTCCTGCTAGGGAAGTATAGTGTTGAAGGGTTTGGGATAAGGAGTTTCTCATCTTAGGAATGATAGAATCTAGGAAGCCAGTTCTTGATACGGGGTGGGGATAGAAAATGAGGCGGTGGACTGGAGGCAATGTCAGCCACACTACGTCGAGAAAAGTGAGTGGAATAGACATTTCCGCGGTCGCTTCCGGCGGCGGTGAGACCGGAATTTGCTCCAGCACAGTGACGGTTTGGGGTATGGCCATTGGATTCGATACGGAGTAGTTTTTTGAGGTGTTGGATAAGATAAGAGTTGTCAGTATATTACAGAAGTTTAGAATGAATGCTCTTTAAATAATGGGAGGCCAGTTGAATATGTTCTTCAATTCCGTCATACCTGACGTTACGTTAGAGCAATAATTTAGGAGCATTATGTCACAAAAATAACAATTAACTTATACTCCGTATATTTGAATCAAAAGTCGTTTATTAAAAAATGGTTGATAAGATTAAAAAGATGAAAAAATAGAGATTTCAAATTGGGTATTAATTAAATTTCAATAAAGTTGAAGGCCAATGTTTGATTGTTTGACATTAAAATAAAGGTCCAACCAGCTAGTGTCACAATTTCAAAGAGAATCACACGGTGTAATAATGAATTCACAGGCTGTGAATAAATCGATACGACCACAAAAATAGGAGTTAGGAATATTTCATACGTAGTATTATTTTTAATTAAAATTGAGTAGTTTGAAAAGTTTAAGTAATGAGCTAAGGCTATGTTTGACACAAGGAGCTGGAACTGGAGACTAATGTCTGAATAGTGAACTATTGTCTGAATTAGATACTATTGCCTGGAACTGGATTATAAAGACCTAGATCTGAACTTCTAGTTGAATGGAGTATAACCATTTGGCAAAAAGAGCTGGAATGATGACTGGAAAATACACAATTACATTAAAGGGGGGAAATTACTTCTAAGTAAATTTCAATTTGGTCACATTACTTTAATTTGTTTCATTTCAATCATTTAACTATACCTTTAGTTCAGATTAATCACATCCAACATATTAAGTTGATGGGATAGTGATGTACTCCCTTCGTCCCAAAATGATGGTCTCGTATTTCCTTTTTGGGATGTCCCAAAATGATGATCATGTTTTCCTTTTTGGAAAGAAAGATGTGTTCCACATCATTTCACCTTTTTCTACTCAAATCTCAACCACAACTTTTACCTTTTCAACCACTTTATTAAAATTTGTGTCCAAAAGAATGAGTTCATCAAATTGGGACAGATGGAGTATGTTTTATCTTTCATATTAAGCATTAATAGGTGCCACCTCATCTAACCATCCATCCAATTGTAGTTCTCATTTCCGGTAAACAAATCATTAAAGGGTCATCATTAAATCCTTCAAACGTAATGATAAACTTCAGTGTACCTTTACCCGATCCTCAACCTTCCTTGGTCGCTAAAATGCTTTTATAGTCGGCTCTAATTCTTTCTTCCTCTATATTCCCACAACTTGCACCAGCAGCAAATCATTAGTTCACCCCCATTACATCTCAATGAAATCTGGCTACGACAACTCTTCTCAAATTTTGATCTTGAGTTCGCTGAAACTTATATAGCACCGGCGTGGCAAAGGAAACGACACGCCTAATTAAATTTTAATGGGTTCTGCTCCCTGTTTATTGACTCGTGTAGTGGGAAAATTACTGGTCCCAAATTGAAAGTTGGAATGGATGAATTTTTTTAAGTTAATTTAGAGAATAATAAGGGCTTCTTGTGTAAGAGTCCTCTGGCTTAAATGAGTATATATTACACATTATTGGTTATTATATTATTATATTATTATAGTTCGTATTTCCTGTTGTATTATTATTGGGGTATGCCCCAATTATTGATATATGTCTTCCTTTGTAACACTATATATATGCATGGCATAGTATGATAATAAATATGATAAACACTTCTATTAATCTAATATGGTATCAGAGCAGGAATATTGGTCTCAAAATTTCTAGTACGTAATATTTTTTTTCTCTCCATGGCTATTGGAGAAGATAGTACTTCTTCCACCAAAATAGATTACACATCTCCCTTCTTCTTGGGACCTCAAGATAGACCCGGAGATTTTATTACTCCGGTGCGCCTAACCGGTGAAAATTATGATGATTGGTCGAGTTCAATTCGTCTTGCACTAAGAGCTAGGCGCAAATTCGGCTTCGTCAATGGTGTCATCAATGAGCCTGTCCTTCCTTATATTGAAGAAGATTGGTTTACCATACATTCCATGTTGGTTTCATGGATCTTAAACACTATCTCTCCAGAGGTAAAACTTACACTCTCTAAATTTGATGATGCTAAACTGCTCTGGAATGATTTGAAAGAGCGTTTCTCTGTTATCGATGGCCCTAAAATATATCAAGTTAAAACTGATATTGCCCGATGTGAACAGTCTAAAACTCAATCTGTTGCTACTTATTATGGCAAATTGAAAGTTTTGTGGGATGAACTCAATAATTATGAACCTCTTATAAGTTGTTCGTGTGGTAAATGTACGTGTAAAGTCAATACCTTGCATGAACAACGAAGAGAGTCTGAGCGATTTCATCAATTTCTAATGGGGTTGTCCTCAGAATTTTATGGTCAAATACGTTCCCAACTGCTTTCCCAAACCCCGCTCCCGACTCTTAATCGGGTTTTTCAACAAATCTCTCAAGAAGAACGGGTGCGTGGTATTATGCTAAATAAAGTTCGTGATGAGAATTTTGATGTTATGGGTTTTGCTGTTCGATCTGACCCCCATAGCAAGACAAAACATGAAAAAATTGATAAATCTGGAATGATTTGCACTCACTGTAATTCTAGGGGACACTCTAGTGCAAATTGTTTTGAAATTATTGGCTATCCGGAATGGTGGGGAACACGTCCACGTCTTGGTCAGCAAAATCGCCAGAAATTTTCTCCTCTTGATAGTTCTGCACGACGTGGGGACCGCAGCACTCCAAGCCAAAGCAAGGCCCATACACGCGTCTTAGCTACAGCAGTAACCGGGTCCATGCCAGCTGCTGACCTCGGCAGAGAAGTCCTCACGCAGCTGCCTTCTACAGTTGCTGATTTTCAGCCCATCTCTGGACCCACACGTACTGTTCCCTCAATCTATCAACATGGATCCCACAATTTCAGCACCAGCCAGCTTCTGTCGAGCCAAACTGCTGCACCTTCTCCTGCGGCGCACCATCTCTTCATGCCGGACAGCTTGAACGCCGTGAACACTGTTCCGCAACAACACACTGGCAGCTCTCATATCAACCAAAATATCTCAGGTTTTTCTGATAATCAATGGCAGGCTCTCGTAGCTGCTTTTGGTCAGCCCATCTCACCAACCAGTCGTATGCATGGTATGTTAAACTCCACTTCTTGGATAATTGATAGTGGAGCTTCTAATCATGTTACAGGCAATCTTTTGTGTCTTTCTAACATACGGAACATACCGAGTCGATCAGTTGGACTTCCAAATGGCCATCAGGCGGTTGCTACCAAGTCTGGCCGGATATATTTATCAAAGGATATATGTCTCCATAATGTGCTTTACGTTCCACAATTGACATGCAGTTTGATTTCAGTTTCCCAACTTATAGATGACACATCTTGTTCTGTACAATTTTCCTCTAACACATGTGCTATACAGGACCCTCAAATGAGGAAGCTGATTGGACTGGGTAAGCGTCGGGATGGACTTTACTATTTCTTCGTGGACAGCAGCACTCATGCTCTTGCACTTCCGAGTTCCTCTTTGCCAATGGATATTTGGCATCAACGTTTGGGTCATCCTTCTGAAAATGTAATGTCCTGGTTATTTCCTATTTCTCGTAAACATGTGCCTACACCATGTGAAATTTGTCACAAAGCTAAACAGTCCAGAAAACCTTTCCCTTTGAGTTCTAATAAAACTACCCAGTTATTTGAACTTATTCATATTGATGTTTGGGGACCTTATAATACTCCCTCTTCTTGTGGAGCCAAAAGTTTTCTTACAATTGTGGATGATTATTCCAGAGCGGTTTGGGTGTATTTGTTACTTAATAAAAGGGAAGTTCACCATGTGTTTATGTCTTTTGTGACCATGATTGACCGACAATTTGCCGGGAAAATTAAAATGGTTCGCAGTGATAATGGAACAGAATTTAATTGTTTGAAAAATTATTTTTGTGAACACGGTATTATTTTTCAAACATCCTGTGTCGGAACTCCTCAACAAAATGGACGAGTTGAGCGAAAACATCGTCATATACTTAATGTGGCTAGGGCTTTGCGATTTCAAGGACATTTGCCTATTTCTTTTTGGGGTGAGTGTATCCTTACTGCCGCACATCTCATTAACCGGACACCCTCTAGCTTACTCCACCACAAAACACCATTTGAGGTTTTATATGGTATTTTACCAGATTATAAAACTCTTCGTGTATTTGGTTGCCTTTGCTTTGCTCATAATCTAAAATCCCGGGGTGACAAATTTTCGAGCCGTAGTAGAAAATGTGTATTTGTTGGTTATGTATTTGGTAAGAAGGGTTGGCATTTATTTGATCTCGAAACTCATGAATATTTCGTCTCACGAGATGTCACATTTTATGAAACTAATTTTCCATATGCCAACCATTTACCTCTTCATACTACCTCCACTTCTACTAGTCATTCCGACACTACGTATGAAACTTCCTATTTCTATCCTGAAGAGGACCCCATGCATCAAATCACCACTCCCATACCTTCCCATGAGGAAGCCAGGCCACCAATTTTGTCTCCTTCCATTATATCTTCCCCACAAACAGTTTTGGAGCCCACAAATTCTCATCTGCCACCCATAATTAATCCTACTCAATCCTCACACGATGAGGACCACTCAACTGATAATGAACTTGGTCGCGGGCTTCGTAAAAAAATTTCCATCGATCAAACTTCGGGATTATACAACTAATACAGTTGTAATACATAGTCCATCCCCCGTTACACCTACTCCACAGTCTTCCTCAGGTACGCCTTTTCCTATAGCACATTATGTTACTTGTGAAAAATTCTCTGATCGCCATCGAGCCTTCCTTGCAGCTGTCACTGCGGGAAATGAACCTTGCAATTTTCATGAGGCTAATTCTCATGACGGATGGCGGGCAGCCATGCGCTCTGAAATTCAGGCCCTTCAGGACAATCACACATGGACTATGGTTACACTACCTCCCGGTAAACGTGCTTTGGGTTGTCGTTGGGTATATAAAATTAAATATAACTCCGATGGCAGTATTGAGCGCTTAAAAGCTAGGCTGGTGGTTTTTGGCAACCGACAAGTAGCTGGATTAGATTACACTGAAACATTTGCTCCTGTCGCTAAAATGGTAACTGTTCGAGCTTTCTTAGCATTAGCCGCGATTAAACACTGGGAATTACATCAGATGGATGTACATAATGCATTTTTACATGGGGACCTAAATGAAGAGGTCTACATGACCATGCCACCTGGTTTTCAAGCTCCTGCCTCGAATCTAGTATGTCGCCTACGCAAGTCTTTGTATGGACTTAAACAGGCTCCCAGATGTTGGTTTGCTAAACTTGTCACAGCTCTAAAAGAATATGGTTTTCTACAATCATATGCAGACTACTCACTTTTTACCCGTACTCGTGGTAAAGAACAATTAAATGTTCTTATCTATGTTGATGATTTGCTTATTTCCGGGAATGACTCCAACGCCATCATTGTTTTTAAAGAGTACCTATCATCATGCTTTCACATGAAAGATTTGGGCCCTTTGAAATATTTTTTGGGTATTGAGGTTGCTAGAAGCCCAACCGGTTTATTTCTCACACAGCGCAAATACACACTTGATATCATCACCGAAACAGGTTTGCTAGGCGCTAAACCAGCAATTTTTCCTATAGAGCAAAATCATAAATTATCACATGCTTCTGGTCCTATTCTTGATGATCCAGAGTCATACCGTCGCTTGTTGGGTCGTCTAATTTATCTGGCTGTCACACGTCCGGATTTGGCTTACTCAGTTCACATTTTATCGCAATTCATGCACCAACCTCATCAGGAACATTGGGATGCAGCTTTGCGTGTTGTCCGATATTTAAAGGGGTCTCCTGGTCAGGGCATTCTCCTTCGGTCTGACAGCAACCTACTTTTACAGGGATGGTGTGACTCCGATTGGGCAGCCTGTCCACTCACTCGACGTTCACTCTCTGGTTGGATTGTTTTCCTTGGTCATTCTCCCATTTCCTGGAAAACCAAGAAGCAACACACTGTCTCTCGTTCTTCCTCAGAGGCTGAGTATCGTTCCATGGCAGCGGCTACTTGTGAATTAAAATGGTTGAAAGCATTACTACTCAGCTTGGGTGTTCATCACCCCAGTGCTATTCCTCTTTTTTGTGATAGTCAGTCTGCTCTTCACTTGGCTAAAAATCCAGTTTTCCATGAACGCACAAAACACATCGAGGTCGATTGTCACTTTGTTCGTGATGCTATCCAAGACGGTGTTATTTCTCCCTCCTATGTTCCAACCACTTACCAACTGGCAGATATTTTCACGAAAGCTTTGGGTAAAACTCAGTTTGATTTTCTTCTTCGCAAGTTAGGCATCTTGGATCCACATGCTCCAACTTGAGGGGGGGTATTACACATTATTGGTTATTATATTATTATATTATTATAGTTCGTATTTCCTGTTGTATTATTATTGGGGTATGCCCCAATTATTGATATATGTCTTCCTTTGTAACACTATATATATGCATGGCATAGTATGATAATAAATATGATAAACACTTCTATTAATCTAATAGTATACCTTTGAAGTTCGGGAGAAGAAAACGTAGTTGGTATGATCCATTTCCAAGGATTATTTGACTGAAATAGTGAAATGCTTATTCTCAATGGCGGACTCAGAGGTTTGTGAGAGTGGGCACACTAGACACTAAAATTAGACTATAATAATAACTTCAAATGTAATAAAAATGGTAAAAAAAATGTACGTAGTATTAAATTATACAGAATAGTTAATTACATATTAAATATTTCAGTGCTGCAACTTTGGTAAATCAAGCTTACGAATTTTCATATTCTGAAAATGTTGCATAATAGTTTCATTATCGATGCTTCTAAAAACATCTCTCTCGATGTAGTACACCAAGCAATTCGTAAGATAGTCATCTCCCATTATATTGCGAAGATCTGTCTTGATTATCAACAATTTTAATTTTTAAAATAATCCCCCAACTAAAAAGCAGGTGTCGTCAATGCAGAATAAATTGAAAATAAACTTACAAATCAAGGAAATATGGGAGGATTGAGCGGTGTAGGCGTGCGGCGGTGCAACATCAATTCAGCTAGACAGCGAAGTCCCCAGAGGTCAGAGCCAAGGCAGCGACATCCCCTAAAGTCGTTAACCGTCCGCGTGATTTTTATCATTCTAGTCTTTCAACTGTTAGTGGGCTTTTAGACTTTTATCACTCTGTAGTTTTAATTGCCCGCACATTGGCTACTCTTTTGCATTTTAACTTTTTTTGTTACTTTTTGTTTTCAATTCTTAATTATTTTTTTGTTTTTTGATAATTCTATATCTTTTATTTTAATTCAGCTAAAATTTAAATGTTTTGTATTAATTTTTTATTTATATAACCGTAACATTTTAGTATCTTAATTATCAAATACTAGTATGAAGTCGAGGCACCCGTTTTTATCCTAGATACTACTACTGAAATTCCGGGCTCGAAGCGGGGGCACTTGCCCCACCTAACCCCCTTAGGTCCTCCACTGCCTATTCTTATAAATTCTACATGACATCGATTTTTGCCAAACAATAATCTATGATGGCTTCTTTCAATGATTGATCAGGCTTAAGTTGTTATACGTTTGGTTATAAGCATGTCAGTTTTGTTAGGAATCAAACTCACGCACACGATGAATAATAAAAATAACACATTAAAATTTGATAATCCAGTTCGCCACGAATGACTACGTCTGGGGGCGCTACCAAGCCAGGAATATTATTACCATTTTCGGATCCACACATGATTACAAGGGAGAGAGCTTATATTTATAGAGAAGTAAAACATAACCCCAAGACAACTAGGATGAGTTTCCAAAAATAAATTAAGAAACGCGTTTCCAAAAATAAATTAGGAAACAGTCTCTAACACCTTACAAGATTTCCCGCAATGTAACATGCCTGACGTGATGAATTTGAAACTGAAATTAAAAATAGATGATTGAAATGGATCAAATTAAAATTGAGTGAGCAAATTGAAACAGGTGACCATCCAAATTAATTTCCCCATTAAAGGGCATAAAATATATTATTTAAAATAATGATTTTTTATATTTAATTATTAAGATTATATGAGTTGTACTGCCGCCGATTAAAGGGAATTGCGGCTGGTGGATGGACTGTCGCCGACTCCTTCATTGCTTTCTCTCTATTCTCCAATTTTCTTTGTGAAGCTTCTTGGGCTGCTTGCTGGCTTTGGTGACCCTCTGTTGGATAAAGCTCTCCGGCTTCACCATCTTCTTGCTGAGTTGAAATCCACAGCGGAGATGATGAGCGGTAAAGAGATCGCTAGGACTGAGATTCTGAAATATGAGCGACACTAAAGGAAGGATATGAACGGTTCGTGAATCGTGATTTGGGGTTAATTTAGGAAAGGAAGTGTATACTACAGAGTACAGGATGGGCTGCATAGCAACGCTACGCCTGATAACGTTTCCATTAAGTCCATATTTTCCAACTTTACCTTAGTTTAGCCCTCTTTCCAAACAGGGCTACTTTTAAATTTATTAGCTGAACTTGAAATTTTTCATTCAATTAAGAGCTGAAAGCTGGTGCCGAACACAGCCTAAAAAGTAGTAAAAGTACTACTCCCTCCGTCCCATTAAAAAGTTCTCACTTTTATTTTTTGGACGTCTCGTAT